AGCCATATCTTGTAGTGTCACCAACCAGGCACAGTGAGGATCACGCGGTCCCCATCCTGGAAGGCGAGTAGCACCGACAGCACCCAAGCGTTTCGTGATCTCCTTCATACCCCTCTGCCAAGTCAACGGTTGGCCACCTCTCTGTTTACGCCACTCTGAGTTGGGCATGGAAAGCACCACTCTCTTCGGCAAACGATAATTCGGCATACGCAACAAATGTCCCAACCAACGCATCTTCTGGTGCTGGACACATTCTTCAATGGAAGTACCCGTTGAGCAACCGAAAACTCGCTTTCTAGCTGCCTCGTTACGGATACGCCGTTACCAAGCCAAACGAGCTATGGTTCTGAGACAACGATTGTCGAACACCTGAAGACGTCTCAGTTTCGCTGCTCGAGTATGCCAAGTCTCACATCCATACAACAAAATAGCCCGTACTGTGGACTTGCCGCACTTCAAAGACAATATTGTGTGAAAGTGAATATGGTCTACGAAAATATGAGGCATGAACAAAATGAGAGTTTCAAAAGGTATATAGTCCGACAGTGTTCACCTTTGTGAGTTAGGGAGGGTGAATAATAATAATATAATAGTAATCATTCAGCTGTAACTCCCCATCGGTTCCTAGCTGGCATGCAACCCGAAGGAAGCACCAGGGCTGGGATACCGCCCGGTTGAGTGAACAATGTATGACCTGGTAATGGAGTATGAAAACACTAACCAGTAAACTTAATCAGGTCGACAACTTCCGCCCACCTCGATGGGGACCCTGTGACTCAACTCATTAACGGCTAATTACATTGGCAGAAATGGCCAAATCGCATCAAACCTATCGTCTTCAATGCGCAGCTAGCCACTTTCCGAACTAACTGAACATGTCATCACCTCCAAGGCTTGACTGTGTGGCAGTTGGTGCCAATCTGCTTATGGCACACGGTTTATAACTGATAAACTGAGTTGAACTGACGTACCAAACTTTGAGACTCACTTTGTAAAAGTCGAATCTTGAGTGACAGTGACCGGTAGACCGGCGGCTAGGTTGGTCCGTAACATAGGCTTGGTGGTTAGACACTTAAGTGAGGTCTTCAAGAATAGTCCACCAGCATGGCTGAATGGGTGCTATACGGCACAGAACCATTTTTACGGTGTTCGCCATCCGTTTGTTCTTAGGATTTAGTGAATTCAGATGGACGTATTGCTCCCATTCACACACTACGGCGCAAAATCGTTGTTTGCCAAGCTACTTACGAGTAGCTAAACATCAGTTCAGCAAATGCACGGCAGACGACTTGGCACTCAATTTTGAGTCTGAGATACATTCAATTATGCAGACACAACATATGAGATAAAACTATCAGAGCGGGGTTTTTTTCTTGGCTCAGCAGCGTGCTCTGAGTGAATGACAAAGTGGTTCACCCGATGCTATGTTCATCAGCAGCGATGAACCAAACCGGACAGGCCCACTGTAAACATTGGAAAACTCGAATTCATCATACAATTGATTCGCGTTCATTGCGGCATAGATGCTGGCGATGACAGCAGTGAACACTATTGAACAGTGGGATGGTGGCTCCAAAGTGAATTTCTGCCTATCTAGGGGATTAGCAGTCGTGATATGTTAGCAGAAAATAAACAAACTGAGTGTAAAACTATCCTTGGAAGACAACGGAATCTTTACGGGCACTGAGGAGGGAAACGAATACACCAAATTTAGCCTCCAAGGGATGCGATTTGCTGTACTTCTGGAGCCTCGAGAAAACTAAGCTATTAGCATTGAAACGCGGATATAAAGAGCTTTTCACAGTGGAACGTTTGTCTCTCAACTTACTTGTTGTAATAAAACAATTCAAAACTAGCTGAAAAACGGAAAATCGCTGTTTACAGGTTTTGTTTGTTCTGAGATATGTCAGAATATGAGATGCAGAGATTGACCCTTGTTACTACAATCAGTTGTCCAGGATAGAAAATCCCTCATTTGAGCCCCGGCTCCTCAAATAATGGTAGCTCGGGTCAGCTTTCTCGGTAACTGCTGGAATTTTCCTAAGAGTGAAAAGCTCGTTGACATCAGAGCTTTATATGTGAAAAAAGCTTCTGCGAAACAAATCAGTGAACATGGGGAAACCGACCCGAGATTCTTCCCGTTTGAAATATCACATGTACTTTTCATATTGGTCGTGAATAAACGCAGTGCAATCCCGATGATGGTTTTCGACTGTGTGTACAACCTCCGTTCTTAGTAGATGCAACTACAAACTACGGCTTGCTTTGCCATGTACTGATTGCAAACATGGCAACACAAATGTATCTATGCTTGTGCGAAGAAAGAAGTTTGTCTCCTTGGAAGAAAACCCTGAGAGGAAATATATCTACTGAGGAGAACTTTCTTCTCCAATTGCATCATCATCATCATTGTCAGCTGTAATAACCGCGTACTCGTCGTACAGTGGTTGTAGCTGCCGCAGTTTCGTTCACCGATGATTTGGGGGAGGGGAGGTGTAGGTAGCTGCGCATTGGAGGCGGGAGCTGATAAATTAGTGCATAAACCTAGCACTCTCAGTGGGCTGTCAAGTGAAGGGGGGCTGCAGTCTTGCATCAATGAAGCACTCCTCAAAAGCAAGAGCGAGACAAGTTATGGTTTCTTAAATGGCTCACACGCTAAAAAAATGAGAAGTCACAATGTCAGTAGCATACCAGCTTGATTCAGATTTATTGGGTACTCACCACTTCAAACGGTTTCTCTCATGGCGCAACCACACCGGTGAGCTCTGTAACTTGACTAGACTAGACTTAGTAGGCATTTGAGTCTCTGATAAACCCGGTGCATTTCTACAGAATATTTCGGAAGCGCAATAGTGACCGAGAAGTTGAAGGCTGACGAGCGTCTGTGTATGTGTCATCACAGTACAGAAAGGGCATCACACGATTCTTATTTTTAGCCCTTATCTGAGGAAAACTCCCCCCCCTTGAGTGAAATATTTTGGATCCTTCGAAGTTGTTTTTTTCTTCTAAAAAGGGGAATACCATATATAAAAATGATTATTTCAGCTGATGCAACATTTTTTGAATACAGATACAAAAACAGCACACGAAAATTAGAGAATGGGTGTAGCGTTATTTAACTAACTAACAACCATAACCTTGTTCAAGAAATCACGCATTACGCCACAGAAATTAGGTTTGTTTGTTAGCTGGGGGAAAAAAGGACAAAGTGCACGTAACTGCTGGCGCCGACCCTTGAATTGACAAACTTTAAACGGAATGTTGAAGTGTTTTACGTCAAAATGTCAATTGCTGTTTATCGAAATTTGTAAAAGTGAAGAAGCAGTCTAGTGTGCAGTACACTGTCGCCAGCTGGATCTGTGTGGTTCTTACCAAGGATTGACTGCGTGACGAAAGATTTGAAAAGCGACCGGCTATTGTGGTTTCTCATCCATGCATGCACTTGTGTCATGACTACACTTCGTCTTTGACTGGCGACGAAGCTGTCTTGGAAGATGACGGATGAGAAGTTTGACAACTAGTGTCCTTCTGTCAGATATTTTGGTGATGCTGTCCCTAACTATGTCATAGCGGTTTTCTCATTGGAAAAGCAGAGTTTTCTTAATGCAAGAAAATAAACCTATTCGTTTTGAGTGAAGTGAAGAGGGGGGCACAGTAGTTGAATTCTGTGGAAACAAACAGTGATACAATCAAAGAAAAGATTTTTCAGTCTTGGCAAGTACTCTCAGTATTGAAATGACCGATTCCAGTTGAACGTTTGCGTTTCACCAATCAATCAAATGACCTCAACGAATCTCGTTTCAGAACGACCCTCCGATTTACGTGGTTGAGAGGACGTTCTGAGGTTGAAATTTTGTCTTCACTTTGGTGATAGATCAGATGGAACATGAGGGACAAGCGAAATAACCACTTATTTTGTGATGAACTTCTATTACTGACAACTTGGAGGTGATCAGGCAAGCGAACTCCGTTTGGCCTGTTGAGACAGCCGAACAATGAATCCTCATCGGGACCATCAAAAGGAAATCAGTAATCAACACCGACTTTCCGCTGCCGTAATTTATTCGAAAGCCCCTTATGAGAAGGGGAAGGGACCTACTACTGGCCTGAACCAATCATCCCGAGGTGCCTACAGTTCCAAACACTCATTCAAGCAATCTGGATAGAAATTGACAACAAGAATGCAATTGACACCGATTAGCAATCAAATATCGCAGCGTCTCCAAGCATACAAAGTTGAAGGAGTATCACGTGAGCCCCATTCTGAACTGCGAGTCGCACCTACCATACCCATACTTTTCGTACCTCTGCTGGATCTCCGCTTGCGCCACTCCGAATTGCGCACGGAAAACAACACTCTCTTTTGCAAACGAGGTGGACAACCCTTGACCTGGAAGAATGGCTTGAAAGAGATTACTAAACGTTTAATAGCTGTTGGTGTCACTCGCCTACTAGGATGGCGACCGCGTGGTCCTCACTGCACCTGGTTGTAGACGCTGCAAGATGTGGCTACTAATCAATGTCAGTGACGGTCTTGTTGCCATTTTTTGTCCAGATTGCCTGATTGAGTGTTCGGAGGTGTAGGCACCTCGGAATGATTGCAATAAGCTAGTTCTAAGTCATTTCCCTGTCCACCTCTACTCTTTTATTCACATAAACCCTCGTCAAAGAATCATGGTTGTAAGGCAGTGAAGCATCGGTGTTGAACAGTGACGTCATGCTGTCCATGATGATGATGATGATGATGATGATGATGATGATGATGATGATGGTGATGATGATGATGATGATGTGGATGATGTGGATGATGACGATCTGCAAACGACGATACGGTATACGCAATACATCGTCTGACGGTCGCAGTTTCTGGTGCTGGACTTATTGTCCTATGGGAGTCGCCACTGCACAATCAAACACTCACTTTCTAATCGATTGGTTACGGATCCGCCGACACAAGTCTGCACGAGGTATGGTTCTGAGACAACGACGGTCGAAGATCTGAAGACACGTCAGTTCCGCTACCGAACGATGCCACTGTTCACACCCATATAACAAAATAGCTCATACTTTTTGACTGATACACAAGCTGAGATTCATGGAAATGCCGGTTTGACTTCATGGGTGTCTCGAATTAGCAAACGTGAACCTAGATGTAGCGATTCGTGCACTTCTGCCATTGTGCAAAGCTGTTCCAACACCAGGTGACTTCCAGTGGCGGGGCCCCTGGAAGAGAG